ACAACCAAAAAATATATGTGTGGGTATATGTGTATGCATGTAGGTATATATGTGTATAGGTATGTATATGTGAGTCTATGTGTGTACATATGGGTATATATATATATATATACATGTATATGCATGTAAGTGAATGTTGTTGTTAGGTGCCATCAAGTCGACCCTACTCATAGTGACCCTAAGTACAACACAACGAAATACTGCACAGTCCTGCCCCATCCTCACAGTTGTTATGCCTGAGCCCATTGTTGCAGCCACTGTGTCAATCCATCTCATTGAGGATCTTCCTCTTTTTTGCTGACTCTCTACTTTACCAAACTTGATATCCTTCTCCAGGGACTGATCCCTTCTGATAACACATCCAAAGTATGTGAGACAAAGTTTCATCATTTTTGCTTCTAAGGAGAATTCTGGCTATACTTCTTCCAAGACAGATTTGTTCTTTCTTTTGACAGTCCATGGTATATTCAATATTCTTCACCAACACCATAATCCAAAGGTGCAAAGTCTTCTCGCAGTTTGACTCTTGGCTAAGATTTCAGGCTTGGAAGGGAAAAGACGGCAGGTAAAGACGGCCCTGCATGATAGGGACACAGAACATCGCAGGTGCAGTTTAAATAGGATGAGGAAGGACAGGTGTGTTGATGGCGGAGGAAATGTGGCTTTTACCCCTGTTGCCACAGAGTAGGAGCCCTGATGGCACAGTGGTTAAGAGCTTGGTTGCTAACCAAAACGTCAGCAGTTTAAATCCACCAGCTGCTCGTTGGAAACCCTATGGGGCAGTTTTCCTCTTTCCTATAGGCTCACTAGGTGTTGAAATCGACCCAAAGGCAATGATTTTGGTTTATTTTTATTTTTATTTTTATTTTTTTGGTCACAGAGTGAATGACACCTCTCAGCTGCCCCTAAGGAACAGGCTGAAACAGAACTCAAATCTACCCAGCAATCAGGGTCTCTGCTGGTCACCAGGAAGGAACCTCATGTAAAGAAGTTCTTAGGACAGTTCAAAATCTCTTCCCCAGTCACTCTCCTGTGTGAGTGCAAGGTTCCACACACAAGGGGCCTGGGCTCTCTAGGGCTGCACATCTCTCACCTTGAATATAGATGTTTAAAGACCCTGAAGACTCATTTCTATTCCCAATAAGCCCCCTGCAGAAGTAGGAGCCATTGTGCTGGCCTGTTGCTTTTGGAATGTGGAAGATGGTATTGTGATGCGAAAACTTCTTTCTTCTGTCATCTTGGAAATATGAGACCTTATGCAGAGGCCTGCTTTTCCAGGCATGGCACCTCAGCTCAATCATCTCTCCCTTCAGGAACACCTGCCAAACGGCCTGGAGCAACACCCAGCCTGAAAGACACAGCCTCAGCTCAGTGCAGTGCTTCCCTGAGGGGAAAGCTCCCCATACATCCCCCACCCCCCTGAGATCCTGAGGAAAATGAAAGCCACACTGGAGTCATCCCTGCATAGCTTCCTTTGGGAAAAAGCTAACTGAGTCCTGCAAGAGAACTCGAATCACAACATGACCTTCTGTTTAATGGGGAAGAGGAATAGACACATATGTGAACCAAACATGATGTGATCATGGAAGTTTCCTTGGAAGTAGAGAGATTTAATTTGGGTACTGAAGGCAAAGAGAGGTTTGGGCTAGTAAAATGGATGAAGACGGTGTTCTTACTGGGGATGATGGCAGACCTGGATTTGTTATGGCAGGTAATAAGGAGCCACGGTAAGTTTTAGGTCAGAGTAAAAATGGCATTTTGAAAATAATGATTTGCCTCATTAGAGGAAAGGTAGATTTCAGAAGGGAGAGGCGGGTAGTAGGAATACTGAAAGAGGACTAGCAGCCAATCAGGAATCAGGTGACTGGGTGGCCACAGGAGTGGCTGCAGACATTGTGCCATACTCAATGTGAAAATCAGGGAGGGGAAAGAAAGGTGTGACTGAAGGTGCTCATGGGTAACTGGTGGTTTCTGAACGGCCACAGGGCCTCAGTGAGGCTATCTTCATTACTGGACATGGCCTTCAAGGGAGAAAACGTTTATATCACCAGGACACTAGTTCTCACAACTGTCTCACCAGGTAATCAGACTCCACTGCAACACAGAGACAGCATGAAGTATTGTCAGGAGGGGCCTGAATCATTAAAAGTGATATTGCAGATGGATATTATAATGGCATGAAAAACGTTTATGAGCTAATGTTAAGTTAAAAAGGCAGATGCAAAATGTACATACACACAGGGAAAAAGAAAAAAAGGAAGGCTGTGCACTTAAATATTAACACGAGTTTTCTCTGGGAGGTGGGACTACAGGTCATTTTACTTCCCTCCTATTTAATTTTATGTGTTTTTGAAACTGAACACAAATGACTTTTGTAATAACAACAAAACAATAAAATTTACTATAATTTAAAAAAAAAAAACCTACTTCCTCATGCTAAACAAAATCAGTAGAATGTGTTTTGGTAAAAATGCTCTATTAGGAAAATTTGCCAGATAGAAGGTAACCTTTATTACTTATTAACATATATCATTTATTTAAAAAAAAAGAAAGCTATGTGTCTATATATCCATTTACATTTTTAGTAGAGAGATGAATCGTTTTACCAGCATAAGATTATGTCTGATAGAGTCTGGGGGCCTTGGGGGGAGCATTCTTGTTCTAATCTGTCCTGACATGGACTCAGTGAATGTCCATGTGTCCATTCGTTCCCAATATGCCAGCCATTGTGCAGACTGCAGATACCTAGATGACTAGATGCATAGTTTCTAGCCTCAAAGAATCTACAATCTAGACATAGAAACACACACGCTCAGAAATAATTACAATACAGTATGTAAAATCTACAACAAGCTGTGAACAAAGGACTAGAGGGCCAAAGAGAATGAAACAAAGGAATTTGACCCAAAAAAGTAAAGAAGACTTCTCAGAGGAGGAGATAAATGAAATAGGTACTAAAGGATGATCAGGAGTTTGCCTGGTGAAGATAATGCTCATGGTCACCATTTAACA